GATGGATGGATGGATGGATGGATAGATGGATGGATGGATGGATGGATGGATGGATGATGGATGGATGGATGATGGATGGATGGATGGATAGATGGATATTGACATCTTTTATATTAAGCATAAAGCTACTGGCTTTAAAGAAATATTGACCCCCTGTACTGATCAGGTAAAGCAAACAGAGTATGGAGTTAAAATGTTCAGATTGATCCTTCGACTAATACTTGTCAAATATCAGTTAATCAAACAGATGCAACAGAAGCGTCTAAACTGGTTAATTATGATCAACGTCACACTCACCGTCATCATAATCTTCCTCATCGTCTGAGGAGTTGTTGATGTAATCTGAGCTGGAGTCATCATCCAGACTGTCAGCCTCACCATGAAAATCTGTCTGATTGTGTTCATCTGGGTCATGATTGTGCTCAGGTGTGGACGGCGTTGCTGGACGCTGGCTCTCTGCTTGCGAGTCAGCATCAGGACCGCTGTGCCGCTTCACTTCCACTCCTGCAGCTGCATCTTCTTCCACATGGCTGTGACGCACGCCTTGAGACTTGGAGGAGGGATACTGTGCCTTGCAGGAGTGAGGGGGGGGCAGCTCTTTGTGGTAGCGGAGTGGGCGTTGCCGTGTGGGGAGGGCTGTCAGATCACATGACTCTGCAGGATGAAGGGCGGGACAGGGGGCGGGGCCAGGGGCAGATATACCGTTTCCCCCACTGGTCCCTGGCCTCTTCCTGTGGGCCATGATTGGTGGCTTACACGCCATGCATTGTTAGTGGTTTTAACCTGTGAGGCAGACACAAAGGGGCACAGGCTCAGAGCAAGGCCAACTGCTGCAAACACTGCTGGTGACTCAGTGTAGAAAAGACAAACAGGAGAAACTTGCTGCAAAACTCTAAAGAACTGGGCTATATTTTAAATGGTAGCTGAAAATTATAACTATTCTTCATAACCAACAAAGTCCATGCTCAATAATCCAGGTATACAATCCAACATTTTTCAATCTTCATAACATGCACATTTAAATTTATCTTCACCAGCAAATAAATCAATAAAATACACAATTTTCTTAATATTTTTCCATGCTTGAAAACTGAATATAATTTTGCAAACTAACTCATTGTCACTCAGTCAAATGCTTTTAAAATAAGCACAAAGATAAGAAACTTTCTAAGCATATTTAAATCAATAGATGAACCTGAAGGTGCTGCATATCAGAATAATCTGTACATTTTACAAATGTTTTTATTTTCTTCAGTTTAATGTTGCCTGTTAACTGATTGATCCATCACAACCTGTTCAAAGCAATAATTCAAAGGTTCATATGATGAGAAATTTCTCTGAATCATTTTTTTCTACTTTTGTTTAAACAGATCTCCTGATCAGCTTTCATTTTTATTCAAACCTTTGAGCACGCCTCTAAAATAAACAACTACTAAAACCTCCAATCCTCACCAACAGATGTTTCAAAGCAATAAAAAAAAGATGAAAATAGGTTTAAAACAACAACTAATTTAAATAGATGTCCAAGAAAAACTAAAAAGACACAAATGTACATTAAGATGCTTTTTTTTAACCCTTAAACAAAACTTGTCATATTTTTGTAAGACGCCAAAATGGTGAAAATATAGAAAATGTGACAATCACATTATCAATCACATTATCTATAGATTTCCAGTTGAGTCATGTTTCTTGCATTGCATCTCACATCCATATTTCAAAAGTTTGTAGTATTCTTTGTTCCTCCTGTGCCTTTTCATCACCCCCCCCCCCTTGTGTCATGCTGTTGCCATGAACATCTGTCCTTCGAGGGGTGTTGCTGCTGCTTCCCTTGTTTTCCATAACTATAATTAAGTTTCCATCACAAGTGAATCAGCAGGTTCATTAGATCTGTGGAACCTGCCACAAACACATCGCCTCAGTAACACAAACGTGCACATCTAGACACATGGATGCGGTTTGACGTCCATCTAGCAGCCAAGCATTCTTATAAAAGACGTGCACACACCGATCATAGATCATTATGACCACGCACACACCTGATGAAACGTAGCAACATGTGAAGCCTGTTATCAAACCTGTTATCAAGCCTGTTATCAAACCCTTTCAGTCCTGGTCCTCACAGCCCATCCCAAAATGTTCTCACCTGCTCATCATCACAAACATCATGAAGTGCCTGCATGTCTTACCTGAAGCAGGATGTGGTCAACAATGGTCCTGTGTGACAACAGAACCCCTGCGTCCCTCCCTCATGTTTCTCCTCACTCCTCCCCTCCCCCACAAGCTGCTGCACAGCGTGCACCTCCTTGACTCCACCCTCTCCATCCACGGTGTTTGTAAATGTATAATAGTAGAATTTTAGAAAACCCCACCAAGGATGTGCACCATAAAGACAAACTCGAGTAAATGACAGCAGCTCTGTGCTTATAAACTAAAAAGGATCGTCCGATTTTAATCTCTCGGTTTTAATTTTACACTTTCTTCATTAAAAGAACTTCATCAAAAACCCCCAGTTTAATTGCATGAACCCAGTCAGACTTTAGAATAAATACTACATTACATATGCTGACACCAAATTTGCATAAATTTGGGTTTTTGTGTGAGTAATGTTATTATTATACACATAGTCCTCATCCTTAATATCTGCTGCGGTTTATCTTAATGTATTTAAACTTATTTGGCGTCTGAATCGTTCTGCTGATGTTGCGCCGTATGGTTTTACATTATTAGTATTTAGTATATATTTTAGATCTTTTTATATCTTAGATCCTTATAAACTGGTTTTGTATTTTTACTTTATAATTTTGCAGTTGGATGCAACTGGGAGCCCGTGTACATGATTTTGTTCCACCTCGTGTTGGAAATGAGAATAAAGAACCTTGAACTTGAAGCAGTTTACGTTTCTGAATTCAGTAACTTGATACTGATATTTTTTAATCATTATGTCTAAATTTAGTGGTGACATTCAAACGGCACCATTTTGACAGTTCAGAAGAACCTCATGACCCATCCAGTCACAGCTGGGCCATTTTAAAACATTTACATTTTCATTTTGTTTCAGCACAACAAACACATTTTTATTACACATTTATTATCAATAAGGAAAGTTTTCAGTTTTTTTCAGTTGGAGTTAATTTGTTGCCTTTTTCTGTTTTCATTGTGTTTGGTTCGTTCCTTTCTTTTTACCCGTTTCCTCATGTTCTCTCATTTCCTCAGTTTGGTTCTGCTCCTCCAGTCGTCCTGCCACGCCCAGTTACATCTGTTCTCTGTCCCATTCATCGCAGCTGCAGCCAATCCTCCCATCAGCCCCAGTCCTTCCAGTCCCTCAGCAGTCTGGCTTTGTTTTGTGCTTTTAATTTGAGCTTCCTCGTGTCAGTCTGAATTTAAAACCTTTAAAACTTTAACATTTACAGTGGTAAACTGGGAAATGTCCAGTGTGACAACAGAAGCCCTGTGCCCCTCCCTGGCTCATGGCAGCAGCTGTCATCCAGGACACTTGCTTTACCAATTATGTAATTTCAGTTTCATAAAAAATATTCTTGTTGTTACAAAACAATCTTCTATTTTTTCGCAGACAGCAAAGAACAATCTGCAATTAATTTAATTTCTTGTTTATTCTTAGAGCAACAGTTACAAGAAAAAATTTAAGTTTTTTTAATATCGCACCGCTAAAAACAATTTTGTTCAATTTTCCACTAATGATTAAATTTCTTAAGAAAGAATGAACTTGTGCTGCACACAGTTTTATAATTTTCAGGAATATTAAACTTCCTGACTGGGACTCGATGAACAACAGAAGTGTCAGATGATCTCGTTTTAATTCTGTGGTCATTTTAGCACCTTTCTCAGTTAAAACTTTGTCTGCACACTATTTTTCACATATTGACAGTTAATGTCCTCAAACACAAAATATGTACACATAACTTCTGACCAGACGCCAACTACCCCGTGTGTTTCTTTGCAGAACGGCAGAAGTGACTGGAATTAGATCAAAAGTTAAAATTGTTAATCTGCTATTGTCTAAAATGTAAACTCTTTGGAACTGCTTCATTTGATTCAGAATAACTTTTTAATGTTTAATTTAATCATGCAAAATGTGCCTTGAAGTATTTTGGATTTTAATTTAGACTGAAAATAAATTCAGATTTTTTATTACTTGGGAGTAATTGTTATAATATTTCAGACAGCCCAACTGTTTCACTGAAAAATGCAACTTTCGGTTGAATAAAAGATTTCAAGTGAACAAAACTTAATTCTCATCAAAGCTTTACAACCGAAACAAAATCAAATCAACCAATAATTGTACATCCAATTAAAGCACCTCAGAAATGTGGGTTTTAATTTGGTCGTAATTAGAAGAGTTTTGTTTGTTTAATAAAATTGACAGGAGCTAAGTGTGATGCTTGTTCAAGAAGGTTAAGATTATATACATTTACAGTAAAACCTTTAATAATCCTAATATTTCATATCTAAACAAAGTTTAAGAGGAAACAATATGTTCACAGGTCGTTGTGACTTCTAATCACACGTGCACTCACAATGATGTAGTTTAAAACTCCACCTGTTTGTATGTGTGCAGGGATACTGCCCTGTCACCTGGGAACATTAATAGAAAAGGAGCAACATGAAAATAAACTGTAAAATAAAAACAAGCTCAGTGACCGGAGCAAAAAGAATCAGAGTCCAGCCGGTTCCATCTCTCTCATTAATTTCCTGCACACATAAACCCAATATCTGTCTCCTACAAACACTGAGAGTGCACTGATCCACAAAACGCTGAACAAACACACCAACACACCCAGAGCGTCTCATTTGTCTGTTTGGATCTACATCTCGTACTCGAGCAGGTCTGCAGCAACACGCACCAGCAGCTGTGAGACAAAGCTTGGAGTTACGCTCAGACATACTTGTTTTTTAAAGTGGCCGATATGTGTGCATGTGTTTGCATATTTGTGTGTGGAGCATGTGAATAAAGTATCTTGAAAGGTGGAGTGAGGAGCAGACTGAGGGTGAGAGCAGCAATCCACCGCAGCAGATGGCTCAGTGTGGGCCTCGGGAACGCTCAGGCTGGAATGTTAAGCCATGACCTCCGAGCACAGGAAGACGTCGGGCTAGGACCAGGAAGAGGCAAGACAGGAAACTGAAAAACTATTTCAGATGGTCAGATTGTTGTTGTTGTTGTGGAAGGCAAACTCAAAGAGGTGGAACCCCTTTTAACACAACCAGCAGAAAACCAGTACAGACTTCCTGAATCATTTCATGTTATGCTGGTAAAACTGAACATCTACAATAAAGATGCACTGATTTAGGTTTTGTGGGCCTTCCCCATGTCTGGAGCCCAATTCTGATGTTTTCTTAAAGAACCACAGTCAAATTAACCTACAGATCATATTAGTTATTAATACTCTTGAGTTTCAAAGTGGGTGGTGCAACTGGTAGAGCTGCTGCCTCTCAGAGAGCAGGTCCCTGGTTCAAACCCCGGTCCAGGGGCCTTTCTGGGTGGAGTTTGCATGTTCTCTCCGTGCTGCGTGGGTTTTCTCCGGGTGCTCCAGTTTCCTCCCACAGACCAAAAACATGCATGTTAGGCTGATTGGTAACTCTAAATTGTCCCTAGGTGAGAGAGAGAGAATGTTTGTTTGTCTCGTTTGTCTCTATGTGGCCCTGTGATGGACTGGAGACCTGTCCAGGGTGTCCCCCGTCCCTCGCACAGTGACTGCTCGACACCGGCGACCCCCGTGACCCAAAATGTAAGAAGCGGGTAAAGAAAATGGATGGATGGAGTTTCA